GAGAGAGAGAGAGAGAGAGAGCGAGAGAGAGAAATAGAGAGATCCTGCAAAATCAAAATTAACCTGTGATTAACTAAAGATATGAAAAAACATCTTGTCAAGTTAATTACTTGTTTAATTTCATATACATAAAAGGCATTTCATAGGAAAATGGAGATTAGATGGTCTCGGTATGAATTCCTGACTGCGAGATGACTGCAGAGAAATTGTAACAGAGGGCAAATTAGACACACTTCTTAGGGACAAGTCATTTCAAAGGGAAAATTATAGAAACCTTTTAAACGTGTATATGGCTCCTGGATAGGGAGTGTATTTTCATGTGCTTCATGTAACGTGGGCCAGAGCCTTTGAAAATCTTAAAACAGGTCTGAGTGGCAAGTGCCCCAGTGGGGGGAGTTTGGGGAAATGGATCCTGACCCACCTTGCCCCTCTCTCCTAGAATGGGGGCAACCTGCTCTGTGCGGTGGACGAATCCAACGACCATGTGCTTTCCGTGTGGGACTGGACCAAGGAGGCCAAGGTGGTGGATAGCAAGGTGGGGTGACCCTTCCCATCCCTTCTCCTCAGGATGCCCCGGGGGGACTGGCTGGGTCTCAGTGGTTAGGAGTCTGGTATGAGATAGGCTCACCTTGAAACCCTGGCTTTGCATTTGCTGGCTGGTGACTCTGGGCTTGCCCTCTTCTGAGCCTCAGTTGCTTCATCTGTAAAATGGAAGCATCTTCCTTGTAGGGCCTTGGCTTTGATGTTGGGATATGGGGTGGGTGGACCAGGCCCAACAGAAGGGTTGGTATGAGGTGGTTGCTGACTCTACAGTCCTGCCAGGTCCAAGACCGACCTTGACTTGCATCCCTGGGCAGTGGCCTCCTTTACAGATGAGGGACCTTGGGCATGGTGGAGGGGAGAAGTCCTTGTCCAAGGTCACATGCCAGTTCTGGGCTGGGGGCCGGAGACCTGGGTTCTGGATTGGGGCCCACGGTTTGGGGAAGGAGAAATGGTTGAGAGGCTGGGCTCTGGAGTCAGACCTATGTGAGTTGATGCTGAACACGATGCTTACCTGGCTGTGTGGCTTTAGGCAAGTAACTTAACCTCTCTGAGCCTCATTTCTGCTTTGTTTCTTTTTAATGTATTTTTATTGATTTCAGAGAGGAAGGGAGAAGGAGAGAGAGATAGAAACATCAATGATGAGAGAGAATCATTGATTGGCTGCCTCCTGCAGGCCCCCCACTGGGGATGGAGCCTGAAACCCGGGCATGTGCCCTGGCCAAGAATTGAACCGCTGCAATCTCTCGGTTCATGGGTCAATACTCAGCCACTGGGCCACACCAGCCAGGCAAGCCTCACTCCTTATGTGTAATAGGGGGGCACTAATGAGCCTTACCTCATAGGGTGCTGGGGGTTAAATGTGAAGTGCTTAGCACGGTGCTAGGTGCCGAGTAGGGCTGTCCCGGTGCCTTGCTGTTATGTTAATGAAGATGCCAGTAAGACTTCGTGGGTGGGCCCTGCCTCCTGTGCCTTTTGCCCGGAGAGGAAAGATAGACAAGTCGGTGCGCAGTGCACAACCCACGCAGCTGTGCTGGGCGCTCCTACGTGGGGTGGGTGTGGCGGCTCTGGCGGTCTGAGGACCTCATTCAGATCTCCCACTCCCCAAAGTGCTCCAACGACGCTGTGCTGGTGGCCACCTTCCACCCCACCGACCCCACTGTGATCATCACCTGCGGGAAATCCCACATCTACTTCTGGAGCCTGGAGGGGGGCAGCCTGAGCAAGCGGCAGGGCCTCTTTGAGGTGAGTGTGGGGGGGTGGGGGGGACGGGCTGGGCCTGAAAGAGGCAGGCAGGGACACCCAGGCAGACAACAGGTACTCCCGAGGGTCCCAGAGGCTGCGCTGTTGCCTGCCGGGGCCTCATTGTCCTTCTCTATACCATGGGATGGATGCAGCAATCTGATGATCCTCCTTAACGCTGAAATCGTGAGGATTAGTGGGGTGAAGAGTTTAGCAGCTCCTAGCAGATAGTATAGGCCAGTGGTCGGCAAACTGGCCCCTTGAGTGTGGCTCTTCCACAAAATACCACGTGCGGGCGCGCACGTACAGTGCGATTGAAACTTCGTGGCCCATGCCACGGGGCCAAAGAGCCGCATGTGGCTCTCGAGCCGCGGTTTGCCGACCACTGGTCTAGGCTGTCAATATTATGGACCCACAAAGAGGTCAGAGGCCGACTGGCGGAGAGGAACATGCACCGAGACAGAAATCGAGAGAGAAGCAGAGGGCCCAGGAGAGAAGATCCAGGGGCACTTCTGATGGGGCTCCCCTGCCTTTGGTGGGAGTTGGGGCTTCACCCCAAAAAGAGAGGCCTTGAGAACACCAGGCACAGATGGAGACGAACTGGAGACACTGGGAAGAGGGTGGGATGGGGCTGGGAGGATGACGTAGAGACAGAGATGGGGAGGAAGGCAGGGAGGGAGAGGGGAGGAGTGAGGGTCAGGGGCGAGGGGAATGCAAGGGGAAGAGAGCAGGGGAAACAGAGGACAGAGAGGGGAACAGAAGTTAGGCAGGAAGTGGGTCCAGGGGTGGGAAAGAGACAATGTGGTCAGAAACTGGATGACGTGAGCACTCCATGGAGGTGGGTTGGAGATGGGGATGCTACACAGGTCCTCACCCAAAAGCATGGAGGGGTCCTGGACGATAGGTAAGCTGTGGGAGGCCACCCAGCTCAGCGACCTTGACACCTTTCCCTCCTCCCCCACCTCAGAAACACGAGAAACCCAAGTACGTGCTGTGTGTGACCTTTCTGGAGGGTGGCGATGTCGTCACCGGGGACTCTGGAGGGAACCTCTATGTCTGGGGCAAAGGTCAGTGTCATCCCACCTGTTTGGCCCCCAACCCAGTCCTCCCTAACCCCCTTTAGCTGTGTCTCCCTTCCTCTGACTCTGCTGTGTGGAATGTATGATTAAACAGGCTAAATCCTTACCTGTTCAATTCCAACACCCCCATCAAGGCTCAGCTCCAATATCCCACCTCCGTGACATCTTTACTTATTTCCCACCCTTGTTCTCTGCAAATCCCATATTAGGGATCAAGTTTGAACTATTAATAAATGGTTTAACCTAGTTGTGGATGGATGGATAGATGGAAAAGTGGTTTGTCTCAGAGAAATGAATGAGTGAATGAGGGAATGAAGGGGTTGTTCTAGCCAATGAATGAAGGAATGAGTAAATGAATAAAAGAATTGAGTAAATGCATGTTGTCCTACTTAATATTGGATGATTAGGTGAATAGACAACTAAAAAAATGAGTGGTTGTCCCCCTAATGTATGACTGTATTAATGAATGAGTAAGTTTTTTCAGTGGATCTGTAAAGTGATGAATGAATGATTAGTTATCTCAGCCAATAGATGAATGTGTTATGAAGACTGGATTGTTCTAGGAAGTGGGTTGATTACTGAATAAATGAATAAATGAGTTTATTGTTCTAACCAATGGCTGGGCTCAGAGTAAATGTTAATTAAATAATTATTGATGGAATGGGTTAATGAATGAATAAACGGATGGCTAGATTGACATGTAAGTGGGTAGATGAGTGTAATGGACAGATGGAGAAGTGTGGATGGTTGACTAGAAGTTTGGATTGATTGGTGAGTGAGTACTTGGATAAAACAGGGTGAATGAATGGATGAGAGATGGATGGATGGGTGCCAGGAAGGAAGGATGGATGGATGGCTGGATGAATGGACAGATGGGTAGATGTGTGGCTGAGGAATGAAGAGGTGGATGGACAGACCAGTAGATAGGTGAGTGGAGGAATGGATGCGGGTAGATGGATCAAAGGGTGGATGGGTGGAGGAGAAGATGTTAGTTCCGATGCTTGAATGGGTGGAGGGCAGGGTATTGGAACAGGTGAGTGGAAGGGTGGATAGAAGGAAAGGTGGTGAATGGCTGGGTGCAGGATTGAGAGTGAGGTGCTCTGGGGGGTCAGTACAGGGGAAGCTTCCCCATGCTGACCCCTGCCCCTGCCCATCCCATAGGTGGAAACCGCATCACACAGGTGGTGCCGGGCGCCCATGATGGTGGCGTGTTTGGGCTCTGCGCCCTGCGGGACGGGACGCTGGTGTCTGGAGGCGGCCGCGATCGGAGGGTGGTCTTCTGGGGTCCTGACTACAGCAAGCTGCAGGAGGTGGAGGTGAGGAGGGGGAGGGGCTCCTACGAAGGTGAGGGGACCCCTCCTCTCCCTAGCATGTCACTCCCAGCCGCACCCCTTTGTGTGTCCTCCCTTCTCCGCGTTTGCCCGCCCAGGTGCCCGAGGACTTTGGCCCCGTGCGCACCGTGGCAGAGGGCCGGGGAGACACGCTGTACGTGGGGACCACCCGCAACTGCATCCTGCAGGGCTCGGTCCACACGGGCTTCTCGCTGCTCGTCCAGGTGAGCTCTCTCTTCTGCACCTGCCCGCCCCCTGGCCCGCCGCCTCTCTTCTCTTCCCTGTCTGGTTTTTCCTCACCTCCCTGCCCCGTCCCTCTGGCCTGGCAAACACCACTTTCCTTCCCTTTTCCTGCTCCTGCTCCATAACCCCACCCCTGACCCAGGACCCCTCCCCAAACTCTAGCACAGCAGGGGATCCCAGAACCCCATTCCTGCCGAGCTGCCCGGCTCTTCTGATGAGGGCAGTGTCCTCTCCTGTTGGTAAGGCCATGGCAGGTGTCACACAGGCTGCACACACCTTGGGCCACGTACCTTCCAGGTGTCTAGGTCCAAGGATCGGGCGGGCTCTCAGGAGCCGGCCTGCTTTTCCTCCTGCAGCTCAGATGCTCACTCCTCCCTTCCAGTGTGTCCAAACCTTCTCCCCACCCTCCCACCGCCACCTAGCAACCCCACTTCCCTAAAGGTGTAGAGTGCCGTTGTCAGGAATATGAATTCTGGGTGTGGCTGCCTGGGATCTAATCGCAGCCCTGTCACTCATGAGCTGTGTGATATGAGGCCAGCGAGTAACCTCTCTGTGCCTCTATGAACCTGGGGAAGAGCGGCTGACCTCACGGGGGTTTGTGACGATTCCGGGGGTCAGTTCATGTGCAGCATTTGGAATGGCGCCTGGCACGGAGTAGGTGCTCAAAGAGTCTTGGCCAAAATTGCTCCTTGTCCAGCGGCCCCTTCCTTCACCCCCTCCATCATTTTCCCCGATGACAGGCCAGCTGGAATCCATGCTGCTGCCTTTCGATCCCCTCTTTGGCTCTAGTTTCCATAGAAGGAGATGAACAAAGGCTAGAGGGATCGTCTAGGGGTCCCCAGAATAGACCTTGGAGACCCCTAATGATATCGTCAATATTTTACATGATTTATTATATTCTTTTTTTTTTTAATATATATTTTATTGA